AAAGTCCCCAAGTTCCTCCTGTTCCAGCCAGCGTCAGTCCTACTCCAGAAAGCTCAAAGCACCAAAACAGACGCTCCCGCAAAAGTGAAAGGCCCCTTCCAACCAAATCGTTGCCTGCATCAAGTGTGGAGGCGCCATCAGCAGCCAAATCAGAAGCAGAAAATGCTTCCAGTGCCGAACAGAGCACTGTCCAAAGGAGTGGAGAGGGTGGGGAAAGTATTGCTCCAAAACCTACCATTTCAGAAACTAATTCCAACGGGGGGTCTAAAGATGGAACAGAGAACAGTGAAAAACCTTTAGCACCAGCAAGTCAGTTGGCGTCTATGTCAAATCTGAAAGCATCAACCACAGCAACACCAACAGGTGCCACTGCTATGTCTGTGGTACAGACAACTGGAATATCAGGGGTGCCTCATGATCTGAGCCCAGATGGTTTACAAGCTCTACTTCCTGGCAGGGTAAGATATTCATACCCTGTAGCAATCTTTTTAATGAAAGTCACTGTCAATGTCCTCACAGATGCCTTTTGGTCAAAGAACAACACTGATGTTATCCAAAGGATAACATTTTGTCAAACATGATAAAAATACATGTAGTTCCAAAATTAAGGAGATTCTTTTTAAAGAAAAGATATGCAATTTCAGTTTAAAACTACTACCGATGATTGGAGCATGAAGTGTACAGTTATGCAGGGATCGTCAGGGCGTGAAATTGCGCCTAATACAGGCGCCATTACGACTAAATTTTTCACTTTGGCGACCAAATCCTGAAAATTAGTCGCCAAATTGGCGACTAGAATGTTTCATCATAACCTTACCTAACGATATAGTGAATTAGAAAGATTCGCAAAGAAAAATCCGCAGCAAACTTCCTCGCGAAGTTTGTTTCCAAAACGCAGCACATACGTCTCGATCGATAACTAGACGCCATCTTGGATTTAGGTGAGCTTGAACGTTACATATCATCCATCCTAGTGTCCACTTTATAGCACGTTAAAGATCTTTTCCCTTACTTAATTTCTAGAACGATGACAGCATAAAAAAAGGTTTTGTTTGTCTTTGAAAATGGCGACCAACTTTTTTTAATTGGCTGCCACTTTGAAGAATTTGGGAGCTAGTGGCTATCAGAAAAAAAATTAATTTCACGCCCTGATAGTAAACAAAACATTTTCTCTAAAGTATTGATGATTGTGATAAACCAAGCAATGAAACATAATTTTTAAGGAAATCTGCCATTGGATGCACCACAGTATAAAGTAAAGAAATGTCTTTCTTTTGAGTGTATTTGTTTTTCTGCTGAAATGTAGATGATGTAGGTGAAGAAAACTAATGAAAATGCTATTTATTTCAGATGCGCAAGTCTAAAGATCTGGGTATGAGTAGTCTGAAGTTTTACATCAAATTTTGCACGTCGTATTTTTTTTTTGGTGGTTTTGTTTAATTAAAATCTTGCCTTGATTTCAGCCCCCAAGGAACTGATAATTGAAATGGACCATAATAAATACAAATGCCAAGTATCTGGGTGTGATAAGTCATTCCGTAAAGAAAGTGGCTTGGAATATCACATTAAATACTACCATAATCAAAAGGACAAAACTGGAATTAAGAGAAAAAAGTCAGGTGGGGATTACTAAGTCCACATCTATTTTAATAATTTAATTTAAAAAATGGAAGAAAAGAGACATTAAAAAAGTTTATGTCTACACCAGAGCCAAGTGGCTCATTCAGGCGAAGATTATCTCAGTTTCTATAGCATAAATGGACGACAAGTATTTTCACTCCCCTCCTGGGGGGTTTGCTAGCCATCGCAGCCCCCTTCCCCCCTCCCCTATGATGTCTTGTCTAGTCTCTCTGAGAATTAGCAAGGTACCCATTTATACTCCTGGGTAAAGAGAGGAGAGTAAAGTGTCTTGTCCAAGAACACACCACAATGACCTGGCGAGGTCTCGAATCCAAGTCTTTTTTTTTTTTTTTTAAGAATTAAAATGCTTTTTAAGTGCATCGTAATGACCAATTTTATTACTTTTTTTTTCTTATTGGTTAGTCTCCGTCAGGTCGGACTCCGCCCCTGACACTTCCCCCGAGTTTGTCAGCCAGCATCGCCCGCACAAGCGTCGCATTCACAGGTCTTCAGCCCCAGCCACACTTTCATCAGGCAGCTCTCAGATAACCAGTCCAAGTAGTGTGGTCCCAGCGCCGACCATAAAACCTGAACCACTGGAGCAGGAGTTATCGAATGTGGTGATGTCCACCGCTATGGACTCTGAACCTTCTGTCAGTCAGGAACTAGACCTGGAGATTGAGGGGGGTGGGGTAGATACGGAGAATATTGACCCAGGGACACTGGAATGCATGGAGGTGGAAGAGGAGGAAGACATCAATGGAGATGTGATAAGATGTGTGTGTAATGAGTCCGAGGAAGGCGGCTTCATGATACAGGTGATCTTTTTGTCAAATCTCACCCTGGTGTATTTTGTGAAGGAAGCTCTCAGAGGTGGGGAGGGTTCTGGGGAAGCATTTAAGGCATCTCTCATCTCTCCTCTCCCACCCCTCCCCCCATTAACAGCCAAATGGCTGAGCAGTTTTTCCCCTTACACTTCCATTGTGAAGAGAGGGAGGGAAGGGGGATAGGCTTTTAAAGCCCATCGAGTTAAGTTCTCTCTTCTTTCTCTAAAAATCTCTTGTGGCCACTTTTCCTCTCCTCTCCTTTAAACATCCAGACAACGTTTCTATTCCCTTTACTCATAGGAGGAACAGGCTTCCTTTCCCCCTGATTTAGACCGTTTTCTTTTGTTTTAATTTGTCTATCTTTTGTCGTTGGTACTGTAGTGTGAGCAGTGTCTAACATGGCAGCACAGTGAGTGTGTGGGTCTCAGTGAACAAACTGTTCCGCCAAATTACGTCTGCTATGTGTGCACCAAACCAACAGGTAAGAGTTGTTTGTTCAAATTCGTTGTAAGAAAAAGGGAGTACTCGTGGACTTCAAACAAATGCTGAGTGAAATACAGTTGTTATTTATTTATTTTCTTTCTCATGGCTTTCTTTCAGGGTTAAGGAAAAGCGCAAAATACAAGGTACCACTGTCATCATTTCACTAGAGTGTTTGTTTCTCCTACGACTAGTGTTGTTAATAGCAACAACCTTTGATGTTGTGATCAAATTTTACACACGCCGCTGGAGCTTTTCTCCAGTTTCTTTGTCCCACAACAAGCCTATCACAAGAAGCCCCCTACCCCCTACCCCCTTTCTTCTCGCGGAATTTTATGAAGGTTCGCCAGTAACCATTCTTTTCTCCTGGGCGAAGAGAGGCATGGGGAGAGTAAAGTCTATTTACCCGGTCAGGGCTCGAACCCAGACCCACCGCGTCTTCGATTGACCGATGCTACGTTCACGTCAGTAATCCTTTCTGTCACTTCTCTTGCAGAACGATTTTGATTGGTTCAGACGAGGTACCTTGGCATGCATGCCTTTCTCATCAGTCCCAGAGCCTGAATACTCAGCAGAGTTCAACCTCGCCACTCACGGCGTGATGAGTGACATACATGATGTGAACCGCTCCCTACGCAGTTTGAAGCTGAAATTCGAACTCCTCAGGTAAATACAAACAGCCTCAGTAAATCTCCGGAGAAGTCGTAAATGATCTAGAGCAATTTTCAGTTAGGTTTCCAAAGTACTGCAGGCCTGCAATGGTTTTGATTTGCTGCACTCTTCGTGACCTTTTCGATTATATACAATCCTGATAAATTTTTGCAAAGGGTTTTTAAAGATTTCGTCAACTTTGTACTTATTTTCATTTTTAATTCTAGGAAACCGTCTCATTCTGATTTGAAATGCTGGCGACAACCGCGAGGGAGTAGTTTAACAACAAACGTGGACGAAACGGAATATAAAGAAAAAACTGTTGAGGATTGTTGCGTAACAAACGTGAACGAGCAAGGAGAAAAAACGGTTTGCACTGAAAATAAAAGCATTCTTGTTGTAAATGGTCACGTAGAGCATGAGGATCATTCTCAGAAGGGGCTGCCGAAAGTGAAAGAAGAACGTTCCTCCACCCCACCCCGTCCTGAGGAGGGCCCTGGTGACACCAATAACAATATACAAGATAAAAGCGTGCCCTTGTTGAGCACAGGGTCAGTTTTAATGTCATCACTTTCCAGCTCGTCAGGAACAGGGGCAAGTGCTGTGAGTGGAAGTACTGAATCGCGTACCGATGGAAGCGAAGGACACTTAGGTGTGATAAAGAAGGAGGAAGATCCGCAGTCTCCTATCCCGGCTTTAGTTCCTGCCGGTGGACAGACAGTGTTTATGAAAAGTGCGTCATTACCTGAGCAGGGGAAATCTGAAGAGGAATCTGTCAGTAAATCAGAAAATGTGCAACTTGCGGTAAAGCCCGAAAATGACACGGAAGGGACTGGGCAATCAGCAGAACTGAAGCCCCATGGGGGGTCATCTAGGGTTGATCAGGCTGAGGTAAAGACATCCACCGGTGAGAGCAACCCCAAGGTAGGATCCGAATCACAGGTTAAACAGGAGAACGAGTCAAGAAATTCAGCCAGTGCAGCGGGGGCTCGAGAGAGTGAGATCAAGACAGAAAATCAGGAATCTGGGCAGAGTTTGTCAGATGGTGAGAGCGTGGGAGCTATCAACAATCTGCTGGATGATATCACGCAGATACAGGATGATTTGGAAGGACGTATGGATCAGATTGAACAACAGTTAGCAGGTGAGCTAACTGATTGAACTTTCTCGAATCTTGATTGAACGTTCTCGAATCTTTTCCAAAAGCTTTCAGATACCAAATTGCGCGTGACCACGCATGCACGACCTCGTGGGATAACGCGTGCACAACAATCGCGTGCACAACAATCGCGTGCACAACAATCGCGTGCACAACAATCGCGTGCCCAACAATCGCGTGCCCACGCGTTAACGACGGGGCGAGAAAACTTGTTACTGAGAGGTGCAGGACTGCGTGAGGCTTTTAAATTATTTTATTTCGGTTCAAGCACATTGTGTGTCTCCAAACCCACTAGACAAGTTTTTTTTTTTTTTTTTACATCCTGGGTTAAAGCTGCCCTCAATATTACACTCGTGCCATGTTTGTGCGAAATCCAAGTTTTTAATACTCTGTTGCTGTCAAGATGAGGACTGGTGCAATGAACATAGCAGCCAAACGTTTCTACGGCTTGGTTGCGTGTTTTCAGGCTTCAGAAATCAGGTTGTCTTTCGAGAGTCATCACAAGCACACAGCATAATGTCTCACGAAAACAACCGTACAACTATTTAGACTAAACTCATAATAAAACATTTATCAATAAAGGGCAAAATTACTGAGCGCTGATTGGTTGAGAGAGAGGGCATTTTTAGTAATCAAGAGAGGGCATGATTACCTGTTAATGATTGGCTAATCCGTTGCATAGCAACCGTTCGTTATCTTGAAATTTGTTAAAAATAGACTGCGCGCGTGATTTTCCTTCGTATAAATTTTGCCCTTTATTGATAAACAAGTAATCCCATGAGACCTCGTACTATTAAGGATTAATTGCACTTGAGTTTTCAAAATTTTGGAAAATTTTGAAAACTCTCGTGCAATTAATCCTTAATAGTACTTGGCCTCATGTGATTACATATACAAATCAAAAGGATACGCGTAATCAAATGTTCTATGAGTTCGTAAATTTGGTGTTGAATTTTCCTTGGTTTTCATTCCTTTACTAGTTTTTATGAAAATATCAATGTCTCTCGCATATTTCGCGTGATAGCGGTTGTTATGTTTTCCTTGAAAATTATTTTCTGGAAATTGGCGCGGCGGCCAAAATTGTCCCCCTTGTGCATGCCCGACGTTTGACCAGTGTGCTGCTGCAAAACTTTTATTTTTAAAATGAGTTTTTATTCGTGCGAGAGCTAAATAATTTTTTTCATATCAATTAACATTTAACCTAGTTTGAAAACGGAAGCGTAATACATCTTAAGGAATGGCTTAGATCCATTTGTTTGTCAGTAACGTGTTTCTCTCCTTGTCACTTGTAGTTCTTGAAGAGGCTTATGGTACACCTGCCCAGCCTGGTAGAAAAACAGACTTCAGAAACCTTGTCAGGAACCTCAATCGCGTCAGGTGCCTTTTACAACAAGTCAGTTAGGAACCTCTCACAGCGATAGTATCTGACGTATAACATCCGGAATATTCGTACCTGGCAAATGCCGCTGACGAACGGTAGGCATCATTTCTGTTCTGCGCTGGGCGCAGTCCTCGATAAAGCTTCCTTTCGGTAAAAGTGTACGACTTGTGTGATCTGTAGGGTAGCCATGTTACTAAATAGGCTATTTTTGTACGGCAAATACGCAATACTCGCTCTATGGTAAGATTTTCTACTACAGAGTTTTATTGAAAGCATGAGATGATATACTTAGAATCGGAAATTGTTCGGAGATTTTTTGAGAACAACGCGTCTCTTCAAATCTATTGGCAGTCGTTGAGACACACGTCGTCTTGTTTGATCTTAATTTGAGTCTTTAAATAGTGAAACGACTTAAATTGACTGTATGTAAGCTTGTTATTGTGGCTTGTAAATTGATTACTAGTTTCCTGTCTTAGAAATACTTCCTCTTTCATTCATGCGTAATATGATAAACTCTCCTTCCTGTGCGGTATTTTTTTTCCCTGTGGGTTTAGAAATATGTGAAAATCAAATACAAGGTAATGATTGTGGTATACAGAAAATTTGAGATGACCTAAGCTTCACAAATGAATAGGAACAAATGGACACGGGTCTCTTGTAAAAATACGATGTCAAATATGTGAATAAAGAGATACTTCAAAGCGATGTTTATTTCATTTCACAAATTATAGTAAAATAATCATTGGTGAGAGGTCTCCGCGGAACTTTCGCTTCGTGGAAAGATCCTCTTTCATGTTAATTTTGTTGTTTTCTCTTGTTGAGTTCACTGCAGTCAACTCTCCGCTAACAGACACTCTTGTAAGTGGACAGTTCTACTTATGCACACTTTTCAATTCCCCTTTTGCAAATAAAAAAAAATACGGCTTGGTTGCGTTGCTTTGACAGAGCAACATAAGAGAAGTGATCGGTTTTTCGTCAAATCTCCAGTTGTTTACGGGAAGCAAGTTGTCTGTTTTTTTTTTGTTTTGTTTTTTTTTTTTTTTACATTAACCAGAGTCCGACATAACGCTCCCACATAATTGGAGATGCACTCCATTTTGCCTTGGTGTCCGCTTATGAGTTAAATTTCTCGTAGGCCACTTTCTTCAATTCCAGAGGGTGTTCACTTACTTATCAATTCATGCTCAATCTCGTCCGCTAATTTCTTAATGTTTCATTTACACATCACCAGGCGGGGGACTTTGGCTGGACGAAAGAGGTTTTAAGACTAGAATGTCTAACCATAAGCGGATTTCTAAGCAGTGTCGGAACGAAATGAGCGTGGGTTGTTACTAGAAAAGAGGCTTCCCTTCCCTTAAGTGTTGGTCACTAATATTTGGGTCGATCCGAAGAGCGTCAGCTTATATCTCGTATTTTACCAGGGGTTCTAAAATTGCACAAATCCTACAGAGACGAATTTAGCAGGAACGAAACTGTCTTATAATCCGTGTTTACACATCTGCAAGAACTTGACTAACAGAAAATGAAACACCGGGGCAAAGAAAGCGAAAAAATATTAATAAATTGGCATTGACAGTGGGTACGTACAGACACGATTAGAAACTCTGGAGGGTAAACACATATGAAAGCGAAATTACGGAAACTGGCTTATTTTGACGTGCGCAACTCGTTGACACTACACAGGTGACTGGTGCTTTTCGTGCGCACTGATTGGTTGGTTCGAAAAAGTAATGGCCACCGTGAAGAGTTTCAAAAGCTGACGTATCGCTCGGAAGAAAAACTAATGCCCGAAACGTCAGCATAACAAGACGCATAACTGCGTGAACTCTGGCTTCTTACGGGGTCTCGAACTATAATACGCACTCGGTAAAATATCTTGTGTCGATGTACAATGAAGTTAGACCAGGATTCTTTTCTATATCTGTCGTCAACTTAATCTTACAATAATTAGATATGTTGGTCTCGGTCTTATAAAGACACATAACTCTCCTACAAGGAAACAATAACAAATACTGTCTAGCTTTGTATTTCCATTTAATTATCCTTTGATAAACCCTCCTGGAACAATTCAGCAAAACCGTTTCATGCTGTATGATTTTATTTAAGTTTATTATCTTTGTACCACGCTTACATTTATGTTTTTCAATTTTTGAAAATTTTCTGACCTTCACATGAGTGTAAAATTGCAGCTTGGAAGACTTTGGTATACTTGGAAGAATACGCTTGTAAACAAATTCCATCATTTTTCTGCTCTTGTTCCTCAGACATTTCAGGGTTCGTACTGGTATTCTACTGGGTTCTCGATCACGTCTAAATACACGATAAAGTCTACGTAGCTTAACAGTAAATAGCTGATTTGATATTGCATAACTCTTGATGATGAGAACGTTCACTCATAATCATGAGTTCGCTCGTAAATTGATCTCTCATAAAGTTCGCGGACCGCGGGTCTACCCCGAACTGTGTTTACCTTCGTGCGTGTTTTTAGCGTCTTAGACTCCATACTGTTCACTCGTTCTTGGTTCAGCGACAACACCTTCGATAAATACGCCATTGCTCAACCATGTGCGCATTCTATGCTGACTATGCATGCGTTTTAGCACGTACCTTCACGCGTGCGCTGTAGCGAGACGGCGATTTGTGACTGAACGACAACACTAAAAAGAAAGCCCAATTAATAACTCGGGCATTCTGTGAAGCCGAGTAATTAAGAAACTTTTTACGGTTGTCAATGAAGAAATGTAAAATGGTTTCCGTGTTTACATAGCCTGATGTAAACACTTGAGAGGTTGGGAGAACACGAGATATGCGTAGGAAACCACGACGCGAAGCGGAGTGGTTTCCAGCTTATCGAGTAAATAACTAATGAAAGAAGAACGAAAACCGTGTTTACATACGCTCATGTAAAATGGTTTTATGGCCAATCAGAGCGCGCGTACTATTTGAATTATTTTAAAAATTGTGCCAAAGAATGACAGATCGACCACGTTCGCAACAAACCTAAGCGCTTGATTTAGCCCTTTTTTTTCACGTCTCAATACAGCAAAAAGTTTCATGTTGTATTTCACAGACGGCTTAAATCGAAAAGAAAAAAAATCGATTCATATTGCCGTTCGGGTTACTGTTATCGTGATTCAAATTATAAAGTTCCCTAGGGAGTACACGCCTTTCGCCTCGAGTGGTTTCTCATGATCCCTTCAAAATAAATTCTTCCAATGCAACAATTATGTCTCTGTAGAACGTGATTTTGATTTGAATTGCCCCAAAAAGGGAAAAATAAAGAAAGAGAGGAAAACGAGGCGAAAAACCATATTTAGTGTTGTAAAATAATTCAAATACTACACTCGATAAGCTGGAAACCACTCCGCTTCGCGTCGTGGTTTCCTACGCATATCTCGTGTTCTCCCAACCTCTCAAGTGTTTACATCAGGCTATGTAAACACGGAAACCATTTTACATTTCTTTTATAAAATAACTAATGAAAGAGGAACGAAAACCGTGTTTACATACGCTCATGTAAAATGGTTTTATGGCCAATCAGAGCGCGCGTACTATTTGAATTATTTTATAATTTATATTAGCAACTCAGTTTAAATATCCTCTACCGCAGTTTCTGTAGGAAGTTACCCCCTTTTAATCATGGTTCGAAAGTGATTAGCAAGTATTGATCACCTTCGAGCAGCCCAGAAGACAAATCGTGGGTCAAAAGTTCAATTTCCGACCATGAAATAAATTATGTAGAGGTAATAACATGATTTGATGTAAATGAACACATTTTTCAAAGAAAACAAATTTGTGTGACGTGGGGCGAGTGTAATTTGTAGTCTTAAAAAATGTATGTGTATAGTTACATCAAATTCCATGGTAGTCTTAAAAAATGTATGTGTATAGTTACATCAAATTCCATGAAAAATCATATACTTATTTATTATTTGTTTGAAAAAAACATCACAGAAAGCAAGAGAAAGCAAGTTTATAATCTCCTGCAGACAGTCAAGACAGACGAGATTCTGACAGCGCTCGTAATTTGCAATCGTGTTACAACTTGGCACTCGTGTAGTAAACAAGACGCTTAAAGGACTGTTCACCTCTACCTCGGCGAGTAACTGATGAATAATTCTTGCGGTGCAAGTCGTGAAGAATGGCTAAAGTAACACAATTCAACTTTCGTAAGGTGCGAGCTGTTCCTCACCCTTCTTGCACTTGGATCATTATCCTATAAGGTTTGATAGTCAAGCCACCAACTCGCTTGGATTATTCTTTATCTTTTCTGTATCAAGGGAAGAAAACTTCACTCGGGGGTATCCGGATAGGGTTGAGGATCGTGCGCTACCCCTCTACCGACAGTAATTAAGTTCTCTCGTTCAATTTCCCCTCATGATGTTCATTCGTCGATTACATCTAACACTGACAGCTGCAATATGAAGAAATTGTCCTGCAGCAATCTCATGTGTCTTTATTTAGAGGTTTAGAAGTTCCGTCCTCTCTAAAACTCGAAACGTCAGCTTTCGAAACTCTTTACGTCGGCCGGTTTATATCATCACCTCATTTAGTAAGGCCAAATGATCTTATACGCCCCTCCGAGGTAGTACCACATTTTCTTTAGAAACTTATCTCCTTTGTTCAATGCACACAGTTCTATTCATTATCTAGACTTAAAGCTGCATTTTGTCAAATACTGATCAACTTTTAACCAATTTCTGAAACGGAATTTGATATTGGAGGTACCAAAACCTTGGAAGATATTTGAATGTTGAACGAGTTTAGGGACTTCTCCGATATCATTAAGTCACGCCCTTGTAAAATGATATCACTCGTATCTCTAAAGTATTTCATTAATTCTACCACTCCCGGGAGTGACCAAAGATAAAAACTGAACACGATAAAAACACTTTAGAGGAGTAGAGTGACACAAGAAATCAAGACAGCAAACTTACCTAACCCTTGGGAAACTGTTTGCTCTAGTACCTCATTCTTAGAGCTAAATTTAGGAGAAATGCTGAAAAGATAACAAGACAAACACGCCATCGTTTTAGCGTAACTCCATTTTCTGCATATAAACCCACACACAACCCACAATTCCTCCAATCGCTCTGACGAAGGGTTTCCTCTCGAAACGTCAGCCTTAAAACTCTTTACGGTGGCCAATTTACGTTTTCAACTCAGTTGTTAATGAAGAAATGTAAAATGGTTTCCGTGTTTACATAGCCTGATGTAAACACGCGGGAGGTTGGGAGAACACGAGATAAGCGTAGGAAACCACGACGCGAAGCGGAGTGGTTTCCTACGCTTATTTAAAACTAACTTAAACTTATTTATAACTAAAGAAAGAGGAACGAAAACCGTGTTTGCATACGCTCATGTAAAATGGTTTTATGGCCAATCAGAGCGCGCGTAGTATTTGAATTATTTTACAA